CTTAGCTATCAGCAATGATTATATTATTATTAATTGGACACTGCTATTATTTCTGTTAGGAATGATAATGATAATTACTCATTTGATGTGGAGGGCTATAAGATTTGGAAGGATGATTAAAAGTATGTAAACTTTAGATTGAGTTATTCGTGATTTAAAGTATGCTCAACCTTCATTTCTACATCTATAAAATAGGAACAATAACTGCTACCTCTTGGGACTAATTGAGAGCATGGTATACCAGCCTTGGACACAGTGCCTGTCAAGATTATCTCTCATTTTACAGAGGAGGATGTATAGGAGGTTAAGCCATCTGCCTACGTACACACAAATGGCTTAACCTCCTGTATTTGGCCAAGTGTCTTTCCCAAAATTCTTTGCTTTTTTTCCTCCCCAGATGCTTCCTCTTCTAAAGGAATCTGGGAATATATAGGGAACAGTGTTATCCTTTGGATGTGATGGTGCCTTGTGAATTGATGCATTAGTTGGGGTATACTGGAGAATTCATCTGTTTTGAAAACTCCCCTCCAGGTGAATCCTCAGCGGCCATGTTCCTGCCATGTGACCTCAGCCTCCTGTTATGTGATTGGACCAGGGTAGACACATGATCAAAACTGTCCAATCAGATTCACCCTCTGGGGAGCTGGAAATCGGAACTTGAGTCTTTACAAACCCTCCACCACAATCCAGACAGGGGGATCCTTTTGAAAGGCAAATCTAAAAATCAGTCATGTTTTCCCTGCTTCAAACAGCGCTGTGGCTCCCTATTGCTCTTATCCAGCCTGGCCTTAGCCATGATGGCCCTGCAAGGTTTTAATTCACGCCATCTCACCTTTCATTTTGCAGCCACACTGGACTTTGATGCCCCTTGAGCTCAACATGTGTCCTCTTGCTACTGGGCCTTTGCACATGCTGTTCCGTCTGCAGAGAACACCAGCCCACCCTCCACTCCACTCTCTCCTCTTTCCAATATCATTTCCATGGTTACTTTCTCATGCAAACCTTCCCTAATCTCCCTGACTGGGTCAAATTTGTCTACTGTGGGTTTTCATTGCACTGTGTGCCTTTCCATCAAAACACTAACCACACTTGTGATTATACATTTGTATGTATGATTATTTGATTAATAACTGTCTCTCCCAGCAGACTCCAAGCTGCACTGGGAAGGATCTGTCTTTATTTCTGTCCACTTCTGTATTCCCGGCACCTGGCACAGTGCTTGACCCATTGTAGATACTCAATAAATACTTGCCAAGAAAATGAATAAGAATCAGGGATGTGTAGAGCTTCTGGGTGAAAGTCCACAAACCACTGCTGCTGAGATTCTTACAGTTGTCTTTGTCCCCACCCTTGCCCGTTTTAAAGTAGGCTTTTTTTCCTTCACATTTTCTGCAGATTCAATAAGACCCTCAACATCCTTTCATTGAAGTCCCATGTTTTGTTTAATCTTGTATGAGTGGATTCCTCTTCCCTGCAACCTAATACAACCTTTCATACTGCTGTAAGGAGATGGAGATTGAAAAAAATCCCAAGGGTTTTCTTCCTCCAAGATGGTTCAAAATGAGGACAAACAACAGAGGCAATGATGATGACCATCGCTCTGAGAAATATAAAAGATGTCTATAGTTTATACCTGCTGTTATTTCTACCCCGACTCGGCAGACAACCTATCAAATCAGGAGCATGATTTCAGTTATCTCTGGTCCTAGTAGAGTTTTATCTTCAGTTCTTACAATTCCTTTGCTAACCTGTATTTGCTTCTCCATTTTAAACACGCTTTCCTCCCACGGACCCTGTTTGAGTTAATCAGTAACCTATTCAAAGGCAAAACTCTCCTTAAAGGAAACATTGATAACAACATGTAAGGATCCTATCTATATGTAGCAGAGACATACTGATTCATTTGAAACCTTTAGAAGTATCTCATTCTCTGCATGTCTGCTCTGGATTCATTATTTATCTCTATTCCAACACTTTTCTGTGACTGAACCAGAGCAACATCCACCCAGTTGCCTAAGCCAAAAATCTAGGCATCTCTTTGCTTCTTTCCTCTCCCTCCCACAGTCAAATCCATTGAGTTCATCCACCATTCTGCCTGCTAAATATTTCCCAAATCTACCCACTTCCTCTCTGCATTCTCACCACCACCACCCTAGTTAAGCTGCCATGGTCTGTCTCCAAGATGCCTAAAACTCTTTTCCAATTTTCTCCCTGATTACATGCTTACCCCTTCCACACTACTCATCTTTCCAGACACAAAACTGATCCTATCTATTATTTCACCTGCTCTATATCTCAGCTGCCACATCAGGGTCACACCTTAGAACTCACTGTTACTGAACACTGTCCCATGTACAAACATCACAGATGCCAGCTTCCTACATTTTTTTTTTTTTTTAGGACGGAATCTCACTGTGTCGCCCAAGCTGGAGTGCAGTAGTGCGATCTTGGTTCACTGCAACCTCCACCTCCTGGGTTCAAGCAATCCTCCTGCCTTAGCGTCCCCAGTAGCTGGGATTACAGGCATGTGCCACCATGTCCAACTAATTTTTTTTGTATTTTTAGTAGAGAATTTCACCATGTTGGTCAGGCTGGTCTCAAACTCCTGACCTCAAATAATGCACCCCTCTTGGCCTCCCAAAGTGCTGGGATTACAGGGGTGAGCCCCCACATCCAGCTCAACTTCTTCCTTTGTGGCTGCAAGCTCCTTTCATCTTTAAGGCAACAAACTCTAACTCTTCAACTTTGCTGTGACTCTAATCCGTTTACACCATCACTTTCCCCACATTCAGTAGTCCCCTTCTGTTTGCCATTATTATTCTGCTTAGATTTCATGGTCCATCATTTGCAGTCACCTGCTTCCAAATGCCATCTACTCAATGTTCTTGTCTCCCGTTCTCCCTGCACCATACTTTCCTGGCAACACCCAGCGCTAGATGCAGTAAGGGCTACACACCTGAGCAGCTAAAAACCACAACAGAGAAAAACCCAAGAGGATGGTTTTACATCCTATGACGTTTTCCTGTTGAAACTGCTTTTCTGCTCTCAAAGATCTCAGAGATCTAATCCAAACTTATGAGTCTGTTATAAAGATTGAGTTAATATATGCAAAATGATTAACATACTACCTGGCACATGAGAAGTACTCAATGCATATTGACTATTGTTATTGTTAATATGATTATTTTTGTTTTATTTTTGTCATGATCATTAACCTGACCTATTCTTAGCTGTTGATCTTACTGCTTAGTCAGTTGAGAAACTGGAAAGCTTCAGATGAAAACTCTATAATGTTGCTGTGATCTTTGCACCAAATATGCATATCTCTCAATATCTCTAGTTATCTTCACATTCTTTTCTCTGAGAAATTATTTCTTATCTTCCCAAGGTTGATTCCTTAACATGTGATCTCAATCTTACATACTTTTTCTTTCATAAAACTTTCACATTTTCCCACTTTTTTCTTTTTCTCTCTAGTACCACAAATAAAATGCCAATCATCATCTGAACTAAGGTGTAAGCCACCTGCTCCCACACCACATCCTCAGGAAGATCCCTTAAGTCAAAAATGTAAAGCATATTCCATGAAATGGTTCTGGGAGTCTGGCTTCTAGATGGAGAAGGACTCAGTCTGGGAGGAAAATAATCATCAACTGCTTTACAAAAAAGTGAGAAATCCTATAATTAAAGTCCTAGTTGATTCACATATTTGTATCCTGAAAGTCATTTCCTTCGGAATTGTAATCCATTATCCTAAAGCAATTTCTCTCTGGTGCTGGTATGTCTAAAAGTGTAAGAAGCATCCTGACAGAAAGGCTGACTAATTATATTAGGCATCATGATCTTTAATTAGATCAATAGGAGAAGAGCATCAGTAAACATCTTGAGAAGCTTTTGTTACATTGGCTGGGTCCTCCAAGGAACCTCAGCATCAATACTAATCCATAAGAAAGTGTTCAGAAAGACACACTGGATTAACAAGGAGAGAAAGGATAATTTGGATAAAATTAATCACTGTTGTCATAGGACAAAAACAAAAATTGGCTTAGCAAATGGGTCCAGAGCATCAAAGACCATGCCCTTCTGTGCCACAGCCTCAGGACTACACTCAGCTTCACAACCCATGACTGTCTGTTGGCAGAGACAAATGACAATTTCATCACCAATGTATACTCCTCTTCAAGGGAAAACCCTGGAATTACTTTACTTATAATGAAATCACCCAAGAAACCCACTGAGTGTGAATCACAGCGCAGAATCAAAGCTTTTCTTACTCACTGACTTTGTGGAGAACGAGGGTGGAGAGTGATGGGATTGGAGAACCAGCCAGTAGGTCTGTATTTGGCCATCATTTAGATCTTGGTTTTATAACAATTCATCTACAAAAGATTTGTGTGTGTATAGGCATGGGGGGTGGAAATTACTACGGACCAGGAATGGTTCCAAGTGCTGCAAACTTGTTCTCCCCCATCATTCCTTTTTTAGCTCTTCTTCCTTCTTCCTCCTCTATGCCCTTTTCCTATTTCTGAGGGTTCTCTAAAGCTGTGGCAGACTTCAAAATTATTTTCTAAAGATCAGATCCTTGCAATATGTTTTCCCACAGTGCATCTGCCACCAAATAGAATAACATGGTAATAATATTGATAATAATGACAACAGTAGAAACGATCATAGTGGCAACAATAGTGACACAGTGGCCATATGTACTGAGTTCATACCATTTGCCAGGCATGATGATAAGCACTTACAATAGATTCTATTATTGGTCTCATTTTATAGGTGGATAAACGGAAGCCACAGCAAGGTGAATGTATAGGCCCCAAATCTCACAACCAGTAAATGACAGAGTCCAAGTTCGAGCCCGTGAAATATGCTGCCAAATCCTATGTTCTTGATCATTACAGTATAGTAAGGACCTCAAAGGAGGCATTAGTTCTCTCGGCTTCTCTTACCAGGAAAGAGCTAAGATAAGTCACTCTGTTCATTCTACAGGTAGAGAAAACGGAGTCTTCAAGGGCCTACAACATTCCCCACGTATGTAGAATTGGAAGGAAGTAGACAGAGGCCAACCCAGAGTAATTCCATAATTTGTGAGTAAATCTCTACTGCGACTTGTTTAGTGGGTCACCCAAGCTGCTTGCTTGGGTACATTAATTTTTTTTTTTACTTTTAAGTTCAGGGTACAGGTGCGGGTTTGTTATATAGGTAAACTTGTGTCATGGGAGTTTATTGCACAGATTATTTCATCACCCAGGTATTAAGCCTAATACCCATTAGTTATTTTTCCCGATTCTCTCCCTCCTCCCACCCTCCACCCTCTGAAAGGCTCCAGTGTGTGTTGTTCCCCTCTGTGTTCATGTGTTCTCATCATTTAAGTGAGAACATGTGGTATTTGGTTTTCTGTTCCTGTGTTAGTTTGCTAAGGATACTGGCTTCCAGCTCCATGCATGTCCCTGCAAAGGACATAATTATGTTCTTTATTTATTGCTGCACAGTATTCCATGGTGTACATGTGCCACATTTTCTTAATCCAGCCTATCACTGATGGACATTTAGGTTGATTTTATGTCTTAGCTATTGTGAATAGTGCTTCAGTGAATACACGTGTGCATGTGCCTTTATAATAGAATGATTTATATTCTATTATACCCAGTAATGATCTTGCTGGGTTGAATAGTATTTCTGTCTTTAGGTTTTTGACGAATCACCACACTGTCTCCACAATGGCTGAATTAATTTACATTCCCACCAACAGTGTATAAGTTTCTTTTTCTCCGCGACCTCACCAGCATCTGTTATTTTTGGACTTTTTAATAATAGCCATTCTGACTGTTGTTAGATTGTGTTTTTGAGTTGCATTTCTCTAATGATCAGTGACATTGGGCTTGTTTTCATATGATTGTTGGCCTCATATATGTCTTCTTTTGAAAAGTGTTCATTCATGTCTTTTGCCCAATTCTTTATGGGGTTGTTTTCTTCTTGTAAATTTTAAAAAAATTTCTATAAGTTTAAGGGGTACAAGTGCAGCTTTGTTATAGGGACATATTTCATAGTGGTAAAGCCTGGGCTTTTAGTGTAATCATCACCCAAATAGTGCATATTGTACCCATTAAGTAATTTCTCATCCCTCATCCTTCTTCCACTCTCCTACACCTTCAAGTCTCCAGTGTCTATCACTCCATGCTCCACGTCCATGCCTATGCATTATTTGGCTCCCCTTTCTAAGTGAGAACATATGGTATTTGACTTTCTGTTTCTGAGTTATTTCACTGAAGATAATGGCCTTCATCTTCATGCAACTTACTGCAAAAGCTTAAGTCGGCTGCAACGCCACCAGATATTCATGGAATAAAGACCCTTACAGCTTTATAGAGCACGTGATGGTCAAGGTCTCGGGCAAAACTGGGTTTCCTGAAGACTAGGTCAGACTTGGTCATCTCTGAATCAACTGCATCAGTGTCAACTGAAAACAGCTCTTCTATTAAATGTAGCAATTTTTGACAATTCCTTTGGAATAGAATTACAAAAGTTACTATTGACCCTTGTTGTTGGCTTTCACGAAGGATGTCAAGGACAAAAAAATGAGGTGATAATAGTCCCCCACTCATGGCATGTTATCATTCTTTGTGGTAGAAGTCTCTTTTATTCTATTATTTACGTTTGTATTTGTATACATTTTTTCCCTAAAAACAAAAAACAGAATTATCATTTGATCCAGCAGTCAAGTGGTGTCTACCCAAAGGAAAACAAACCATTCTATTTTATTATTTTCATTTCCCCTTTTCCCCTACCATACCGTATATACACCAGTGGACGTAATACATATCCTTCAAGTAACCTTCCATGTTTTATAATCATTGAATATATACCTGCACCCTTAAAAAATATGGTGATGCTTGTGTGTGCATGTTCTTAATTTGCATAAATAGTATTGTGCTATAAATCCCAACCTGTTTTCCTACCTTTCTTCCTTCACACTGGGTTTTTGAGATTTATTCACATTTGTTCTTTGTAATGCAGCACGTGGATCTCTGGTTTTTTTGGCCATCTTTTATTCTCTACCTTTATTCATTGACTCAAAAGCAATCAAAGGAAAATTGTATTGTGCTTATGTAGTTTCTTTTTAGTTCTTTTCTTGGCAATATGAGAAAATATAATGTCAGGGATGCATTGTTTATTTCAACCAAAGAAAAGGAGGGAAAACTGCCATTTCTGAACAGTTGCTCAACCACTATTTTGAGCACGGGGTCAGGTGTAGTATATTCATTTAATTCTTAAACCAATCCTATGAGGCAGAGAACATTATCTTCATTTTATCAGATGCAGATCCTGGGGTCATAGCCTCAGTGTAAAGGCTCCATATCTTGTTTGGGCACTCAGGTATTTTAGCAGGTAGAGGTAGGACCCAAATACATCTTTTATGGAGTACATCTGTAATCCAATTCCAAGTAAAATTACTCTACGCAAGGCCATTACCCACATTTGGGCTCACAGAAATCCTGTGCTTAAATGTCTTCCTTTTTCAGGGCATAATGCAGAGACAATGGTCGTTTAGAGTGGGTGCAAAAGGAAAACTTGAGGACCTCTTTCAAAAGAGCATTGCATTTCTGGACAAAGAAAAAAATACTAAAATGAACTTGGCTCAACTAAAATTCTGGAAGATATTATCCGTGAATGATGTAATTTAGTTTTTTAGGGGCCACTGATTGACATAAGAACACTGGGTTATTTCTAGAATGAGTGTTGTGTCTGGCCTGTCTTCATTCTCCTGCAGAATTTCTTCTTTTTCTTCACCATCTTTAAGAATGTACTATTGCTGCCCAGAGCTCCTCAATTTTTTTCTGACAGTTGTGGAAGGTAGAATAATGTTACCCCCACCCTAAGATGTCCACATCTTAATCCCAAGAACTTGTGAATATGTTGCATTACCTGGCAAAGAGGAATTAGGATTGCAGATGGAATTAAGATTGCTAATCAGCTGACCTTAAAATAGGGAGATTATCCTGGATAAGCCTCTTGGGCCTAATGTAATCGCATAATCACAAGGGTGAGGCTTGTGTTGAATTTCTAACCCACATAACACTATAAAATAATATATTTGTGTTGTTTTAAGCCACTAAGTCTGTGGTAAGTTGTTATGGCAGCCACAGAAAATTAATACAATAATAACGTTAAGACAGGTTTAGCATCCCATATCTAAAATGCTTGACACCAGAAGTGTTACAGATTCTGGAATTTTCTTTTTTGACTTTTGAATATTTGCATTAGATTTAACAGTTCGGCACCTCTAATCCAAAAATTCAAAATCCAAAATGCTCCAATGAGCATCTCCTTTGAGCACCATATCCATGCTCCAAAAGTGTGAGATTTTGGTACACTTCAAATTTTGGATGTTTTTGATTAGAGAGGCTCAACCTGTATTTCTCACATACGTTTACATGCCAAGAGTGATGTGCTAAGCTTCTCACTTGAGGCATGTGCTATTATTGCCCTTAATGTATGGGTGAGGAATCTGAGAGGAACCCTGGTTGAGTAATTTGTCTAAGAACAGCTGGTAACTGGTGGAGCTGATGCCTGGTGCCTGATTCTGTAACCAACCAAGCAGCAGCCAGTCAGTCGCCACAGTCCTACTTAACCAACCACAGACAGAGACTGAATGGCTGCTGCTTGATGGGAGGCTGAATTATGTTAGGGAGAATCTGATTGGTCCTGTTTGAATCATGTGATCAGCTCTAGTCTAATTAGACTATGCTCAGGGAAGTAGGATCCTGTAGAGCAATCATGGAGGTCCGATCTGCCTCTATAGATTGAAGGGGCCAGAAAAGAAGAAGATTCAGGGAACAACTTGTCTTTTTACCAAAAGCTACGTTACAGAGTTCCCTCATTTGTATACTTTGTGGCCTCACCAGCTTCTTTTCTCCTTGTGCTCTCCATTTGCCTCGGACTAACATCCCCCTTTGCCAGAGTGGGTAGGTTAGTGGCCCACAGAGTCATTTCCAAACGCTGTTCCCTCATGCACACACCCACTCTTGACATTTGTTCTTTGAAATTACCAAGCCGATGTGTCTGTTCTATTCTCCAGCCTGGTAAAGGACTCTTTGTAACCAAGGAAATAGATCTGCTTTTGAACTAAAAAGATAGATAAGAGGCATATAATTCCCATCTAGGATCTTTATATAGCAAATATCAACTCCCTTTGTTCTCTTACTTCCCACTAGCAAAATGCCAGTGAGGTTTACAAGGCAGCATCGGTTTAGATTTTCCTGTTGACTGATATTCAGTATGTCTTAATCACCCACAGTATAGTGACTTGCATGGACTACGTGCTATTATTGCCTACGATGGTCTCGTAGAGGCAGCTCTGGATTTTTCAGAAAATATTAAAAACTTGCCTAAATAATGAGAGCGGTTGAAGTGATAGGGACAGACTCTAGAGATGTGTACGTGACTTTGCTGGTTAAGCACCAGCTCTCCGGTCAAGTGAGAATGCTCAAATACAAAGAGAAGGAGGGGGTGCTGGGAGCTCTAATACCACACAGAGCCACTGCTGCACTCACTAATCCATTGACAGTTGTAGCATTTCTGTTGCAACAAGTGCCCTTTGAGTTAGCATGATTAGACGTTTTCAATTCCAAGTTGCACATCTTTCCACATTTTACCATGACTGAAAGCATGAAACGACTGACAGTTGATGGGTACATTTATTTCTGTGTTTTTCTTCTAGAAAGGTGCTGTTAAATCAGTGATGTGTCTTACAACTGTGGCCTCTTAGAATCATGAAGATGTAGTAATACATTTCACGTAGGGATTATTACTTTTGTTTAGGTGAACAGATAAAGGGAGCTGAATTTCATCTGATCTGGAGGGGAGAAACTAGGTTATATGTGTAAAAAGACCAAGGTCTTTAGAAGATATGTAGAAGTTAGGAGGTCCATTATTTTTACCAGAGTTCTCTGAAAGGCCCCTGTGATGGTTAACTTTAGGCCTCAACTTGACTGGATTAAGGGATACCCAAATAGCTGGTAAGGTATTATTTCTGGGTGTGTCTGTGAGTGTGTTTTGGGAAGAGGTTGGCATTTGAATCAGTGGA